AACCACAGACCGTGGCTATCAACTAGCAGCAAAAACTACTTTGGGGGAAGTCTCTGAAACAAAGGTGAATATTTCAGCAAATGCTGGTATTTGTTATTTCTATCTTTCCATAGGCTATTGTTATTTTTGGCTGCAGTTTTGCTTTAAGGACATTCCGTCACATTTATCCAGGTCCCAAAATTCCTGATGGTTGGTTTCCCATGATCTTAGAGCTGTCATTTCTGGTCTGACCCAGCCAATATATGCATGGACATGCAAGCTTCATCTGTCTAAGCTCCCTGGGGTTAGGGGCGGGTCCTTGGGTGCCACATGACCTGATCATCCCTAATCCCACCTAAAGACTGAATACTGTTAGCATAGTTGTAAGAAAGGTAACTTTCAGTTTGTATCAACAGCTTATGTGGTTGCAGCTGGAAATGGAAAGATAAAATATTAAACCGAAAAACATAACACAAACAAAACGGCTATATTAGTTACTTTGTATATTGTCTTGTGGAGGAAGCACTCTCCCCAGTTGTTACATTGATTAGCAACCACTCGGGCAAGAAAGCTTCAGGAAGCAGATTTATTCAGCTGGCCGGCTGGGAACATGCAGCAACTCAGACACGATTAATTAATATGGGCTCGCAGACCCCTTTTTATAGAGATTTCAACAATAAGGCCATCTGTGTTACCTTGAATTATATCCAAAAATCAGATAGTAATGCCAGCCCATACTCGTATTTGATTGTGCCAAGAACATTAGATGGGTATTATTGTCTTGATAAGACTCCCTCACATCAAGGTTAGAGGACAGCTGTCTTGGCATTGGACCTATTGTTCCTCAAGCCAAGGTTTAAAAAACATGCTGATAACTTTCTGTATACGAACCCTTGTTACCTCATCCTATAAAGCCTAAATGTTCTACATGAACTCTAGTTACCGCGGCACACAAGGCTAAATGTTCCACATGTTGCGTTACCTCCTCCTACAAGGCCTAATTGTTCCACATGAACTCCAGTTACCTTGGCACACAAGGCTAAATGTTCCACATGTTGCGTTACCTCCTCCTATAAGGCCTAATTGTTCCACATGAACTCTAGTTACCTTGGCACACAAGGCTAAATGTTCCACATGTTGCGTTACCTTCTCCTATAAGGCCTAAATGTTCTACAAGAACTCTAGTTACCTTGGCACACAAGGCTAAATATTCCTCATGTTACATAGTTAAATAGTTACATAGTATTTGAGGTTGAATAAAGACATAAGTCCACCAAGTCCAACCTATTGCGTGTATGCATTTATGAGCAGGTGTGTGCGTGTTTATGAGTCTATGTGTGATTTTTCTCCTAGCAGTACCTGTACCCCTTTATGTTACGGTCTCCAAGGAACTCGTCCAGGAGTTTCTTGAATGATTCAACACTCTTAGCTGAAATCACTTCCTGCGGCAGCGAGTTCCAGACCCTAACCGCTCTAACTGTGAAGAACCCCTTGCGCCCTGTATGTTGAAATCTTTTTTCCACCAATTTTTGGTTGTGCCCTCTGGTCTTTGTTACGGAGCTAACCGTAAACAGTTTGTTACTGAGGTTGCTGTCACCCTTGAATAGTTTATACATGAAAATCATGCCCCCCCTTAATCTCCTAACCTCCAACGAGAACATATTTAATTTTAACAACCTTGTTTAATAGTTCAGGTCCTCAAACCCCTTAATGAGTTTGGTTGCCCTCCTCTGGACTTTTTCCAGCTCAAGGACATCCTTTCTGAGTATCGGTGACCAAAAGTGAACCGCATACTCCAGATGAGGCCGAGCTAGTGATCTGTAAAGTGGCACAATTATAGACTTGTCCCTGTTGTGTTACCTCCTCCTATAAGGCCTAATTGTTCCACATGAACTCTAGTTGCCTCTGCACACAAGGCTAAATGTTCCACATGTTGCGTCACCTCCTCCTATAAGGCCTAATTGTTCCACATGAACTCTAGTTACCTTGGCACACAAGGCTAAATGTTCCACATGTTGCATCACCTCCTCCTATAAGGCCTAAATGTTCTACATGAACTCTAGTTACCTCGGCACACAAGGCTAAATGTTCAACATATTGCCTATTCATACAACCTATTATTTATGTATTATATGTACTGTATATACAATATGATGTTTTTCTGAATATGTTTCATTAAAGAAAATATTAAGCTGTTTAGCATAATAGAGGCTTGGCAATGTGATTGATCAGTTTTTCCCTATACAGTCTAGTTATTTCATTGCTTATAGTTTGTAACACAACTTTGCTTGAACAACTTACGAAACATCTATCTTTTCTGCAGCGCCGATGGAGAGTTTGCCATCACCCACATGACCAAAGCGCACCTGTTCCACACAGGGAAAGTTCAGTGGGTCCCACCCGCCATCTACAAAAGCTCCTGCAGTATCGATGTGACCTTCTTCCCATTCGACCAACAGAGCTGCAAGATGAAGTTCGGCTCTTGGACGTATGACAAAGCCAACATTGACTTGGAGAGCATGGAGCACAATGTGGACCTGAAGGACTACTGGGAGAGCGGCGAATGGGCCATTGTCAAAGCCGTTGGGACGTACAACTCTAAGAAATATGATTGCTGCACGGAAATTTACCCTGATATTACGTACTACTTCATCATTCGGAGGTTACCCTTGTTCTACACCATTAATCTAATCATCCCATGCCTCTTGATATCTTGCCTTACCGTCCTGGTGTTCTACCTACCATCGGATTGTGGCGAGAAGATCACTCTGTGTATCTCAGTCTTGTTATCTCTTACCGTGTTCCTTCTGCTGATTACGGAGATCATACCATCCACGTCATTGGTGATCCCTTTGATTGGGGAGTACCTCCTGTTCACAATGATCTTTGTCACACTCTCTATAGTCATCACTGTCTTTGTATTGAACGTCCATCATCGATCGCCAAGTACTCACAAGATGCCTCTTTGGGTTCGTTCTGTCTTTCTGGAGCACATACCAAGATGGCTCTTCATGAAGAGACCGCCGGCTCCAGTAGAGAAAATTATCAGTCAGTACGACACGCCGGAGCTTAAACTCAGTACCTCTAAATATTGGATGGAGACGAACGTGGACGAGAAGTGGGGGGAGCCAGAAGCTGAGTTGCAGCCATGTAACGTCCATCACGTGTCCACCCACAACCACAACCTTCAGTATCGATATGACTATAACCACCCAGTGCCTGGGGGGCAATGCCAGACCCCTCGTCAGAACAAGGCGGAGAACAGTGAATCCAATTTCTTGCTCTCCCCGAGTATATTAAAAGCTTTAGAGGGTGTTCACTACATAGCAGATCACCTGAGGGCTGAAGACGCTGACTTTTCCGTAAGTATGACACGGCTGAATGGAAGGGAAAATGTGTGGATGCAAAATGGAATCATTTAAAGGGTCAGTCCACCTAAAAGTTAGTAATGGGCAGAGGCCCCTGGGATGAGTAAGCCTTTGACCTCTTATATATCTTGGAAACTCCAACAGTGAGATCTCCCTGCCATAATGATTGACTGTTCCTGTCCATTTAAGAGTTTTGGGTGTTCCTGCCCACCTTTGGCTCCCAGCTCTTCTTGTTAAAGTCCCCTTAATATAGAAAAACAATACAGAAGCAATGGTGAGAACCCCTCAAAATGGGCACAGCAGGTGTGCAGACCAGACAATTCAGTGTAGGGATGGGGGAACCCCTCATAATGGGCACCGCAGGTTTGTCAGCCCAGGAGCTAAGTGCAGGGATAGTTAGAACCCCTCATACTGGGCACAGCAGGTGTGCAGACCCAGTAACGTAGCATAGGGATGGAGGGAACACCTCACAAGGAGTACAGCAGATGTGCCAGCCCAGAAACTCAGCGCAGGGATGTTGGGAACCCTTCATAATGGGCACAGCAGGTGTACAGACCCGGGAACTCAGCGCAGGGATGGTGGAAGTTTTGAGTGTTCCTGATCACCTTTGGCTCCTTTCTCCTCTTGTTAAAGTGCACTTAATATAGAAAAACACAACAGAAGGAATGGTGGGAACCCCTCAAAATGGGCACAGCAAGTGTGCAGACCAGACAATTCAGTGTAGGGATGGGGGGCCCTCATAATGGGCACAGCATGTGTGCAAACCCGGGCACTTAGCACATGGATGGAAGGATACCCTCATAATGGACACAGCATGTGTGCAGACGCAGCGCAGAGATCTCACCAGTAGAGTCCCTGAGAGAACAGAATATCAGAACATTTAGTGCTTGTTCACACCATTTTCTGGTCCAGATCTGGAGTAGATCTGCAGACGCGGTGCTATGCGTGCAGTGTGTTTTTGATGCATTTTTTACCGCGTTCCAGTTAAAGTGGGGCAGTCAGTATGTTAGTTTTAACGCGTTCGTGCGTTTCCGGTCCGTTTCCGGACCGGAGAAAATGTCACATGCAGTATGTTTTCTGTCCGGACCGGAATGGACTGCGCTGGTGAGAACTGTAGCCCATAAAACACATAGGGAGACATTGGGATGCATTTTGGGTGCAGGAGTGCACGGTTCTGGTCTGGACAGAATCTGGACATCGTGTGAACAAGCCCTTAAAGTGATGCTCAAGACGAATATCCTTTTTCTCGATAGCGCAGGAAATAATTAGGTTAACCTGTCAGGTTTCTAGTGTTAGGAAGATCCATCCTCTCTATTGGTCACCAGGACAGAAAGTGATGGGAAGTGGTTGCCATTGGAGCAGAAGGTGAGGGGAAATCTTTCAATGGAGACAC